AAGAAAAGAGGAAGAAATGCAATTCTGGGTGACTGGGCAATGCCCTACAGGAGATTGATTTGAATTTAGTGGATAGCTGAGTGCATAAAATAAATATTTTGTATCTATCTATATTTAGATTGATCAATAATTAATCAACTGTTAATTATTATTAAACATCATTCACTTTTCCACTCTTCAGATTCATTTGGCTGCTGATTTTGCTGGGCACCTTCATTTGTGCTACGATTGTCTATGTGGACCTGACGGAGCTGTACAACTCCGCACGCGTGCACACGACTATCGAGGACAGTATGCAGCCGATATTCTTTGTGCCCTTCCCCTCTGTGGGCCTCTGTCCGCGCAGTCGCATCAACTGGCCGAGATTGCTGAAGGAGACGCCGGAGGAGTTTTTGGGCAGCGATGCCAGCGCCGAGAAGAGGGAGCTGTTCAAAAGCTTTTTCGCGGCCGCGTCTGGTGTGCACCTGAGAGATATGCACAGTCTAGGAAGCTTCTTTGAGAATTCAAGTCTCGCCGGACAGATACGACAGCTAGATGGGTTGGATGTGGTGAAGGTATTGGAGGCCTTGAATCTGAACTGCAATGACTTTTTCAAGAGCTGCACCTGGCGGGGCAAGCAGCACAACTGCTGCGAGATCTTCGAGCTGCAGCGCACTGAGTACGGCTTCTGCTGGGTATTCAATTCGGCAGTTAGTGCCGAGATGCAACAGCGACAGGTGAGTGGCGCACAGGAGGCTTAGTGGCATGACCGTTCTCTAGGTGTGTTGCTCTTAGCGTGAGGATAAGTATTATCCACGCCGCACAGCCCAATCTGGTCCGGGCACCGGCTTGGAGGTGTATCTCCAGTTGAACAAGTCACTCACTATGCCTGGCTTACGTGGCATCTACGTGATGGTCAAGCAGCCCCAGCAGTGGAGCGAGTCAGCTCGCCTAGTGCCACACGACTGCCACAATAGGATCAGCATGGTGCCGCGATACACAGGCTCCGATTCGAGAACTCGAACTCTCACTGCAAAGGTCAGACGTTGCATCTTCCCCGACGAAATCCACGATCCGCACTACAAGAATCTGCCGGGCCTAGTCTACTGGCGTGGCAACTGCCGATCCAAATGCCACCAGGAGCACGTGGTCAACCTCTGCAACTGCTCGCCTACTCTCCTCTTTCCCCGACATCAGAAGGGTGCGTAATATACTGTTATATTTCTAATTTATATATGAGTAATTTATTTTTTAGATAACTTCTCGGAGTGCAAAGCCTCCGATTTCAAATGCCTGTATGAACATCGATGTAAGTAAATGTTTCTCCCAATAGTTCATTATCTCTCTGAATATTCCTTAAAGTGACTTTCAGTGTGGAGCGGCTTCCCCTGGAGCAGGAGTACGTGGACAATGTGTACAAGGATAGCATGACCTGTGACTGCCTGAACAGCTGTTCCCAGCTCATCTACGATACCATCTACAGCAGCAGTGCCATGGAGTAAGTCAGTACAGCTAACAGACTCTCAATCTGGTCATAGCACTTCTATCCCATAGACCTCAGGAACTGACTGCAGATACGATTAGCATGCATCTGGACATATTCTTTCAGTCATCCTGGTACATTAAGTACCAGACACATATGCGCTTTACCTTTGTCGAGCTGCTTGGTGAGCTCTATTAAAGACTCGGCTAAGTTTTGGAAATCATTTCACTCAATTTACAGCTAGCTTTGGTGGCATTATTGGTCTGTTCCTTGGGGCCTCGCTCCTCAGTGCTATTGAGCTGATCTACTATGCCACGATTGGCCTTTACTTGTATTTGCATCACTACAATCTGAAGACCAAGCAGCAGCCTCGGGCACCAGAATCTCCAGCTCCCATAACGCTAAAATTTCGGCACAAAATCACACCCACAAAGATTGTTTATTAATATGGTAAATTATTAAGCATATAATAATATAATAGTAAATTTCAACTTTAGGAGTACAATATTACAAATCTCTGTCATCCTATCAAAGACTTCAAAATATTTTCGACTTTCACAACATTTATTTCAATCAAATTTGGTAAAAGCTTTCACTTGGAACATCATTAATATCACTTGAGTATTAGATTATATTATATTTTATCCACGCAGAAGGTTGCTTCGAGTAAATATTATTTATATACATATGTAATATAAATAAACGTAGTAAACAGCATAAACTTAATTATAAATAGTGTCAAGCATTAACATATTTCTCAGCTCTCAGCTGCACTACTGTGCACTACCTGTGCATGCAGCCAGGACAGCCGATCGTCCGTTATAAGCCGATCGATTGTATCGATCGAGCTTCTGTTGTTAAAAAGATAAAGGAATCTCAATGTCGATAGATCACTACAGATGCCGCAGTTGTAAGATAAATATGAACCTTTATGATTTCAGGACAAACTTTATGTTGTTTCGTCTTATCCTAAACGACTTTTTTGATAATTTAAAATACAAATATTTCTTTATGAATTAAGACGAAAATGTTTATAGAATTAATTTTTTTTGGTCTCCTAATTTGCTGCAATTTTGAATGTTGGCGCTATTTTCGATGGAACCATCGATACTATCGATATTATAAACCATCGGACTCACAAAAATTGATGGCACTGCAAAGCAATTCAAACAGCTGAGCTGATTAATCAGCTCTTCTTAAATAAATCGGCATTCACAATAGTTGCAGCGTTGCCATATCATGAGCATAAAACAGCTGATTGCCGCGAAAGACACGAACGATGATGAGAAAAAAAGTAAACAACTCTTTTGATTTTGAAAATGATTTAAAAATTGTCGGCACGTTGTCGTACTTGTGGCAAGAATTTTTACGAATATGATGACCTACAACAGCAATGTGATGATGATGGACATGCGGAAGAGTCTGTGCAACATATCGAAATCGATAAAGAATCAACTATAGATGCCCCCGCACCAGCATCGTGCTATACTGACGCAAAACAGACAAATTCCCTCCAGGCTCTATGAAACTGTGAGCTTTGCAACGAACGCAAGGAATACACCTCGTATCAACTGGAACAATTTGTCGGAGGATGAAATTGTCGCGCTCAAGTATGAGAGCCGTAAGAGAGATTGTATCTGCGAACTGTGCGGCCGCCATTTCACTTGCCCCAGTAATTTCAAGGTGCATCTGCTGCGGAACACTGACATAAAGAAGCTGCAAGCAGTGACCCTTGACGCTCTGCGGCGCCTCGAGCTGACGCATCTGTGCGGGAAGCCCTACCCATGCCAGTACTGTCTGACAGTACCAGACATTTGCCGATCACAACGGAAGGATTCAGCATGAGTGGAAGTAAGTATTAATATTGTGCTCTCCCTGTGCTTATTTATATCATTTTTTTTTAAATACAATTCACAGTCGTCATACAAATTATCGTCCGTTCAAGTGCACCAAATACGAAAAATAATTCGCTGTTAGCAACAAGCTCAAGAGGCATTGCTTAGCCACTCCGGCGTACGTAGTTTTCCGTAAGTTAAAACTAAAAGGCAAAATAATAATTGAATGAGTTGAGTCAGATGCTGATTTCCTGTTGAAGACTTTAGTCCTTATTCGAGCTGCTTTAGTAATCGTTTGATAGCGTCCTAACTTTTTGGGCTATATCTTGCTTTGCAGCCAAAGAATTTCAAATATTATCAAATATATTACATTCTCATTCATCTAAACGTATTTTTCTTACAGCTTCGAGATATGCAAAGTATACTACCAGCGGCGGCCACATTCAACTGTGCATTATCTTTCAAAATGGACGACTCTATGAAGATTTTGGACATGCCTGACGAGTAGATCAGGATATTCGGGCATTCACTTTAAGCATATCTACGACTGTCCCTTTGGTAAGCCTTTCCGTTGCTTTTCATGGAACGAACCCATGCATTCCTGGATACGCGGCAAGTGGACAAATTCTTTAAGTTAAATGGCCATAAGATGCGCATATTGTCCGTCTTGGATATGCAAGGAGGGGACAGAGTGCCACTGATTATCCATTATAGGGTGACTGGCATTATCATTTGAATCTATAAGCATATGCAGAAGTTAGAGAATTTCGTAATCGACTGTGAGTTCCATCCCATTTATGAGTTTTTCGTTCTGTTGGCATGTCTAAGAAGCTTGGATATTAATTCACCCAGCTGCGTCCAGATGCTTAGCACCATTTTACCCTTAGGAAGGAAGTTCCGATGGAGCGTCGGGAGTATAATGCCCAACTGCGGGCCCTGGAACTATTGAACGTCTACAGATCCTGTTATCATTTTGTTAACTCTGTTATACTTCAGTTGTCCAACTTGCGTGTCCTTAACAATCACAAGGAACTGCGTTTTGAAAGTGTTGGCGCTTTAGCGATATATGTACATACAAAGCGTTCATGATTGGGAAATGCAAATTTGAGCAAAATAACAGACAAACAATTGGAATTAACTAATACCAGATTCTGACTAACACGGAACATGTTGTAAAACATATAATTATACATATATATTATACTTTTTACTGGCCGATTAAAAGAAACACACATTTACTTGTTTACATTCCAATTGGTATTACAGGGAATTAGAATTGACTTGGCAGCACTGGCAAACATTATTAGCAGCTGTTAATTGACAATGCCCGACTGGCAATGCGTGGCTAATGCGACAATTACACGCTATCTGTGGCTTATTATTTATTAAAAAAGTCAACTACGATTTAAATAGTAATATTGATTTGCAGTAGACGGCAGGGATATTGGCGAACTTATAAATGCTAACTTTTGAATGTAAAGCGCCTTTCTGATGAACGAGTGGAAATTTACTGGGAAATTTGAGCAGTGTGGCAGCGCTGCTATTGGTCAGCTGTCCTCTGCAGCAAAATGTCTGCGGGTGGTCGTCGTTGGTGCATTTAATAGCTTTTTGTAACTTATTTTATTTAACTATACGCTTATATAAATATCTATATCTAGTAAAATAAACACTGCGAGTCAGGCTAAGCAACTTTTGTCTTGCTTTTTGCTGAGCACAGAATCCATTGCGAAAGCAGCTTCTAGAACGAAGCCGGCTGCCAAAACTTGCAACATGAAATACAATTACTGAAAAAAAATAATAATAATAATAATAATGAAAAGCAATACGAGAGAGGAGGGGAACCCTCGATAAAAAAAAGCAAACGATTGGGTTTTCCAGCATAACTAATGTGGCACCTCCAATGAAAATTCAATTCGAAATCCTTGGATGTCCTCAATAGATGATAATTGCGATAAGCAGCGCGAGGATGATGATGACGGCGAGGGTGACGACTATGATTCCTTGGATTCCAACGATGAGGAAACTGAGAATCTTTTGGATGAAAAGTTGCTCGGCTGGGTACAGGTGACACATAATAGCTGCATGCCCTTGTTTCTACTTTGCAGGCGTGTCTGCTCAGCCTCGCTGCCATATTTTCTGGGCACGGACAGTGCACGCTAGCATGCCGTGCCGTGCTGGTAGCCATGCTGTGTTTGAACTATCTGGACGAGGAAGTGGAGGCGAAACGCGCAGCTAGCGCAGACATCACGGCACAGCCTTCTGCAGAGAACATAAACAGTCACGAATCGCCCGAATTGTTCAGTGGCGCATTGCCATGCAGCCATCGAGCAGGATTTGGATGACAAGGAGAAAAAAGATGCGACTGCTGCGGAGCCTAAAACTGATCATGCAGCCAGTGGAGCTGGAGCTCTTCAGTCGGAGATGTTAAAGCATAGCACCAGGGAGCAAAAACCTAAGGCATCTTTGTGCCGCCCAGTGATGTGGATTTGCCTTCATCATCCGGTTCCAATTTAAATAATATCGAACTATAGTTAACATATATTGAGGCGAATATATCAACATAATCATCATAATCGTCATTAACTTAATTGGTTATCTAACTTGCATGACCAAATTTTCTTAATGTGATCCATCATAATATGACAATAATAAAAGAAACTTAAATATGTTGCTTTTTTGACGCAAGACGAACTAAGTATACACTTTTATAGTTGCGACCCTAATTAGTTTGGTTCTAGATGATGTACTTATGTGCAATCTAATTCTTAGCAATTTTTACATATGATATATCCCTTAGATTGCTTTTAGATATACAACTGTAATTTACACTAATTTAATCTTCAAATAAAAAAGTAATGTTAAAATGAAGTTTTTCATATTCACTTACAATTACAATCTTTTTGAAGAGTTAAACATATATAGACAAATATGACTTCACTTGAACTTTGAGAAAAATCCAATAAATCATATAAACAAGGTAAGAAAATATACAAATATATTTGAAAAGATGAAATATGCTAACGGCCGTATAAAGATGAGACAACGACTTGCAGGTGGGTTGCCCTGCAAATTCAAATCCATTTAAAAAATAACAAATTTGCCCTCTAAGTGTTTGTTAGTGTATATATGTGTGTGTGTCTGTGTCTGTTTGTATATTAATGTGTGCGTGCAATTATTTAAAAGACAATGCAGCCATAAATTATGCTACATTTTCATTTCATTCTAACGTTTCGTTTTTTATCGCATTCCTCGGACACACACATACACAGACACACACACACACATGTAAGCACGAGCGCACAAAGAATTGCGGCGAGCTGAGACACGCGGAAGCGAATTCGCCGCGCTGGGCAGCACTGTTCACTGCGCAGCAAAAGAGCGCGCAGCATCAACGAAATCCGAAAGAAATTTACCGTTGCTCCTTATGCCATCCATCGCCAGTTTCTTCAGTATTTGTTCGTTACGCGTCGAGTGCTCAACTTGGCAGCTGACCGTCCCAGTGTGCAGTGCCGCCGCCGATTTCCGTATTAATTAAATCACATTTAATTGAAAACAACACACATACACACAAAAACACACACACGCACGCACGCACAGTGCAYTGCATCAGGTGCCAAAGACAAAATTGCGTCTTAACTGTCACCCAGCAGCCCATCCTAATCGCCGTCAAGTGTGCGAGTGAGACTTAAGTGTTGCCAGATTTTATAAGCAAAGCGGCATAATAGCCACCGTTACACGCGTTCGCTACAAATTTGCCAAAAAAAAAGTGGGTCTCCCTTAGGCAAAACGAAAAAAAAAATAAACGGGTATACATTTCGTTGCGGCTGCCGCTGCCCGCAGCCTATATTGTGTTGTTCCATGTATCATTGTGCACACACACATACACATACACACACTCATGCATATGTATATAGAATAGTTTTGTGTTTATCGTAGAGTGTTCGCGCTGTTCGGCCTGCACCATTCCAAAAACAAAAACCTGTAAATTATGTAAAGACGCGTTTTGGAATTTCAGTCAACTCAAACGTCCGCATCTAAATCAGCAACGACTATAACACACTAACAACACAGCGCTCTACAACAACAAGGACAACAACGTGAAAGGTAAGCGAAGCGCATCAGGCGCCAAGTGTCAGTCAAATGTTGGAAAATTCAATAATCCGCCAGAGGGCGCCAATACAGTTCCCTCACCCGTTGTTCGCCTGCAACACACTCACTCACACACTCATACATACACACGCACACACACCCTTTACAGCCAATAGCATATCAAATGTATTCGCTTTGCATTCGTTGTCGTCTGTTGCGTCGGCCAAAAACTAGGTTGACTTTGGTTTTCGCCTTGTTGCCAATTCGCGCATTTTCTGTTTTCTGGTTTCGATTTCACTTTCCAGTTAATTTAATCTAAATGCAAGTTCAACAATATGCCATGTTGACACAGTTTGCGGCTATTCTTTTAGCTAATTATTTGTGTATTTCATTAACCAATCGATGGTCCGAAACGTAATGATCGAGCTAACTGAACTAGACAAATAGTCGAATATATTATAATAAATACTTTAGTTAATTAAATAGAGAAAGTAAATTACAACTTCGTATTGATGTGAGGAAGAATCCTATGACTCTTCTCGTGTTTTCCCTAAACCTAATTATCTTTTATTGAACTTTAGTCGCTGCTTGGGGGATTTCTAAATTGAACTACAATCAAGTCTTTGGTATAGTGTAAAAAATAGATAGCATATCTTTCAATGCATATCTGTGACAATTTCGCGTTTCTGACAGCTCACGAGTGCAAATAATAAGGTTACTCAATATTATTCAAGGTTATTCAATAACCTGATAACATTTGTAAAATAAAAGCAGTTTTATAAATAGAAATTTATACTTAACTATATAATCAATAAAGTGTCTGTGACTGACTGTAGGAATTTGCAGTGATTTATGTATTCTGTGGTCTATTGGAGTTCAATTGTGGATTGAACTCTGCTTTGATGGTTGTTGTTGTTGATGGTTCGGTTTGGGATCTAGTTCTTCTTTTAGCTATAAGCATGCTCTCTAGCACGCCGAAAGGTGCCTCCATAGTAATATAGACAACGTAGGACAACAGCAAAACAAAGCCAAAGCCGCTCCAGAAAAGTAACATCTGAAAAACCAAAATGTATCAAAGAGAATTCTTTGAGAGTAAAAGTCAACTTACCACATCGTAGTTGGAGAAAAATGTGCCCGTTCGCATGCGTCGACCATTGGTTTGCTGTATGAATATGTGAAATATGTAGGCGGAGTATGAGATCCTTGACAGCGGCTGCCACAGTGGGCAGGAGAGAAAACTATTGGCCAAGCCACCGTAGCCCCTCATGCAGGCAAAGACCACCCAGCACAAGCTGAGAGGCCAGGCGATGCGAGCTAGCGTGTAGTAAAAAGCCTCTTCCAGCATACTCAATGGCGGATTTAGCCAATCGGCAAATGGATATAGAACAAAAATGCAAGTGAAGATCAAACCCAAGCTGACGATCCAACCCAGCCAAACCTCAATGCGATTCAGGTGAAAGTTCCTGCTGCGATTCACATGCAGGAAGTAGCCAAAGAGTACGCCGATCAGCCAAGGAGCTGCGTGCACATGGGTGGCATAGTAGAGTTTCCGTTGAGCTTCGTCTGAAGTGACACCAATTCTGTGGAGTTAACATTTGCTATAATGCAATCATAATGTATATTGTATGGTGCAAAAGGTACTCACTCCATGTGAACGGGATATTGCTTGATCATCATTGTGCTGAAGAGGCAAGCAGATAGCAGAAGTATTAGAACTAAGATTCCGGCTGCAGCTTTCTTGCCCCACTTAAACAAGGAAAGCAGAAATATGGGAGAGAGTATATACAGCTGCATGTCCACGCCCAAATACCAGCTATGATTGATGCACTGCAAATGGAAATTAGATTGAAATGTGAATGTGTATGGAAGGGTCTAATGAACTTACTAGGTCTGGCGTCGCATAGTTTTGTAGAAAGAGTAAAGTCCAGAACCAGGTGCTTTTACAATGTTTATAGTCATCGAACTTAATGCTATCAAATAAAGGACCATCGCCCATAAATGGCAATAGAGTCATGTAAACAAGTATGGCCAGTGCCACGACTGGAGTGAGGCGCAAATAGCGATGGAGATACATCATAGGAATATTCAATTTACCCTTTGATCTGCAATAGAAAATGTGAATGGTAATTGATGAATAGCTGTTGCCGGTGCGCTTCAAACTCACTTTTCGAGAGAACGCATCGAAATCACGACCAGCAGGAGGCCACTAAGGAACAAGAATGTATCCACAGAGAAGCCAGCATGCAGCACAAAGCTTGTAAAGGGCTTCCCGAACCACTAAAAGGGCGAAAACAAAAGCATTGGGATGGGGTCAGTTATATTCGCTTTAAAGCAAATCAACAGGGTCTTACCCATTTCAATTGATATTGGTTGATATTTGGCGCCATCAAGGCGAACAGGTATTGGTGGCCAAAGAGCACCCAGATGAGCGACATGCAGCGCATGCCATTGAGACAGTCAATAACATTTGGATTCGACCTGGGCTGGACGAGACGAAATAACACACGGGAGTTGGCGCGTGCTGAGAAGATCTTAATCAAGGCCGGCAGTTGGTCTGCAAGAGATTAAGTGGATTAGACATAAATATACGTGTTCTGGTCAAGATTGCTGCGAAAGCATATACGCAAAACGAATATCGATTAATGCTGCTCAAGCCTGTATTTATAATCCATCTATATTTTTACTGAAAGTTTTTGAAACGTATACGTATAAACGTATATAACGCACATACCCTGTACAATTAAGATTTGTTGTGGCAGTATGTTTTCTTTGCTCTCTCTCTCTCTCAATATATATCTCCCTCCCCTTCTCTGTATTCTTCAAATATATAATTATGTGGGCTTTCTTTTTCATCAAAAAGTGTTTCACAGATTTCCCCATTCAGTCTCATATAAGTTTTCAGTCTAACATCATTATATACAGGGCATATAAAGAATATCTTGTTAATTGTGTGCTGTACTTACTTTGATCTTCACAGAAGAAATAATCGTAGGCCGTTGTCAAAACGACGGCAGCAAACAATAGTGAGAGTAAAACACTGTAAAATTTACAAAAATTTGAGTTTAGAATAGAACTTAAAACTTTAGTTTTTAAATTAGTTGACATACTCACATAGTAAATATAGTAAGACCATCGTATTCTATGCGCTCTTTGGTTCTGCAGGAGTCTTCGCTTATCAGAGCTTTTGTGGTTTTTATATTTAATAGTTTCTCGAGCAGTGGCTGCAGAAACTTATTCATGTGCGTTGCTTTGCAGGAGGCGGGAAAGCAAACGGCAGTCCTTAGTATAATGCCTCTGATGAAGGGCACGCCAGCAAAGCAATATTTGCCTTTTATAGCGTGGTTATCACTAATGGCCTTGTTAGTCCCAATGCACTCATCATAGTTGCCCAAATCTATTTGGTTGCCATATAGCACACCCTTGGGGAATGTGCCCCATGCGTCGAACACTACAAACGAGAGAAGTCAATTTGAATACTTTTAATATCAAGTCTCGGTACCTACTCTTTAAGGCCCAAATATTTTTCGATCTAAACGCACTCAGCAGCTGTGTCATATCAGCCAAACATTGTGAATCCTGCTGACTGATGCTAGGTAAATCCAGGTCTTTTTCAGTTATATTCCTAAAGTGCTGGGAGAACTCCATGGCAAGTGGACGTAATTCCATAAATTGATACCCCTCCAGGGAATCGATTTCATCGAACTCCAGCTGCAAGGAACTGGCCAAAGCCAGCCCAGCGAGCAACAGCATTGCCATTATTTCGACCATGTTAATGGTCGAATTGATTTCTGAGTATTGGGCCGTTTTCCAGGCCAACAAGCATTATATATGCGCACAAATCCTAATACCATTTTGATAACAGTTCAGCTTCGTGGAAAATAAGCCTCCAACTAAACTGTGGCTGATAAATTTCGAGTACTTTGGTAACTTGCTTATCAACGCGTGCAGCTCGCTTTATACATTTCAAAGTGTCATTAAGATACCCTGTATTTGAACTTTGGGGGAAGTGTCTAACGATGATATTTATAGATTTCATGATATTCGTTAAATATCGATTTTCAGTTCTTTTTTTTTTTTTTTTTTTTTACGTGCCTGACATTTTTATACATGCAGACTGCGCAACAAAAACAACAAGAACAACAAAGAAAAATGTTTTTGTCTAATTTTAGGCATGTTTAAATTGACAAATAAATGTTTATGTTTATAATGAAAAATAAATATTTATTTATTAAATAACATTTATCTCAAATCAATATCGAGCGTGTAAATTTATATTTATCAAATTAATTTAAATGATATAAATGTTATATATATTTCAAAATATAAAATGTTTCTTTAATTTGAGGTATGTAAAATTTTTACTCAATCTCTACAGCCATAAAAATAAGACAATTTCAACTCAATATATACCTTCTTTTATTAGTTAACTACATAAGTGTTACTCCAAATTTGAGTTTAGTGTACATAATATCCAGGTTGATTATTCTCGATTCGCATCCATTCATTTTCATATCAATTAGTATTTAATCAGAAAGTCCAGCTAATCTAATCTAGACTCTCGATTAAGCTTGTTGGCATTTCCAATCACTGCATTTGATACTATATATGTCGTAAGTACTTTGGTATCAAACGTCCAAGTGACTGACTCACTAGGAGAAGTGCACTTTGACGGGTGTCTCACTTGGGAAAGTCGTACGAGTCATTAAGCAAATAAATACCAAGTAGTACGTATTGGAAGATAACTTTAATCGATTACCTATTTAGAGTAGGGGCGGTTTAGGGGCGTTTCAATAATAGCTTGACCTATAGATATGACATTTGATAAGGCTACATTAGGAAGACTTGTAACTTATAATAAGTCTAATCAGTTAAACCTCTATTTTTTTTGTAATAACCTAACTGATTAAATGTTTGATGTCTTACATAAAGGACTTGTATATAAACAACAATCTTTGGAGCTATAACAAAGTACAAATCAAGTTTCTTCAACTCTTTTTTCTAAATTTGCTTCTAACATCTCTTCAGAGTGTTCTATCTCTGGCATTGTTTCTGTTTCCGCTAAGTTATTGACCTCTCGGGTTGATTCAGTCTTTACTTCTTCAGTTGGCTTTGGAGTAGTTCTGGCCTTGGGCAAGAGCATTCCCTGTAGCACAGCGACGGGCGCCTCCATTGTGATGTACATTACATAAGACAACAGCAAGGTAAACCCAAAGTTCGCCCAAAACCTCAACATCTGCCAAAGAATTACATGTTTGAATAATCGGCTACTTACCAATTTGAAAATTTCTACTTACTACATCGTAGTCGGAGAAATATGTGTTTGCTCGGACTCTTCGACCATTGATTTGCTGTATGAATACGTGAAAGATGTAGGCGGAGTAGGAGATCTTTGAGAGGGGTTGCCACAGTGGGCAGGAGAGAAAACTATTGGCCAAGCCACCATAGTCCTTCACGCAAACAAAGACCACCCAGCACAAACCGAGGGGCCAAGCGATGCGGGTGAACGTATAGTAGGACGACTCCTTTAGTATGGATAGTGCTGGACTCATCAGTTTGGCAGATGGATACAAGGCAAACACACAGGTGAATAGCAGAGCCAGGGACGCAATCCAACCCAGCCAGATCTCGATGCGATTCAGCTGAAACTTCTTGCTGCGATTCACATGCAGGAAATAGCCAAAGAGCACGCCGATCAGCCAAGGAGCTGCATGTGTATGAGTGGCATAGTAGATCTTGCGTTGCGCCTCATCGGAAAGTTTTCCATTTCTGTGAAAAGCAAACTATAGTACGAAAAACTAAGCTATTGACCAACCAATGGACCTACTCCAGATAAATGTAGTACTTGTCGGTCATCATTGTGCAGAAGAGGCAAGCGGAGAGCAGAAGCATTAGCACAAAGATTCCTGCTGCAGCCTTCTTACCCCATTTGTACAAGCATAGAAGAAATATGGGAGAGAGTATATACAGCTGCATGTCCACTGCCAAGTACCAAGTATGAATCAAGCACTATAAGTAGAGAAAAGTTTTTAGGATCAGAGTTTCACTTTATATAGGGTTTGCTTACCAACTCCTTAGTTGCATAGTTTTGTAGGAAGAGCAAAGTCCAGAACCAGTTGTTCTTACAGTTTTCATAATTGTCAAAGTTGATGTCGCCAAACAGAGGACCGTCTCCCAGGTAGGGCAACAGTTTCATATACATGAGTATGGCCACTGCCACAATGGGAGCGAGGCGCAAATAGCGATGCACATACATCATTGGAATGTTCAATTTACCCTTGGATCTGCATAAGAAAGAAAGTTTATAACTGATAAGATTTTTATAGTGGGGGTTTCTGTAAACTCACTTTTCTAGGGCACGCATAGAGATCATGACCAATAGCAAGCCACTGAGAAACAAAAAAGTGTCCACAGCGAAAACAGCATGGAAAACAAAACTGGGAAAGGCTTTTCCCACCCACTGAAAGCAATCGAAATTCCATATTAATTCTGTTTGCATTCACAATATCAGAGTACTTACAGAAAACATTTTAATATAGTTCATGTTTGGAGACATAACGGCAATAATGTATTCATGTCCAAAGATGACCCAGAGCAGCGACATACAACGTATGCCATGCAAACAGTCGATGATATTGGGATTTGACTTTGGCTCCACCATTTTGAAAAGAGCGCGTGAATTGGCGCGTATGGAGAAAGCCTTGACAACAATTGGCAGTTTCTCTGTCGAAGATGGAAGAAGCTTTTTTCTTTACTTGGTGCTCTATAACCTACTCTGATCCTCATACAGGAAGTAATCGCAAAGTGTGGCCAGAACTATGGCAAAGCCCAGCACTGATAAGAGAACGCTGTAAATACCAAAAAAGTGATAAGAATATTGTCTTCTCTTAAAGCGTCATACTTACATTGTAAATATGGTTAGGCCATCGAAAGGTGCTCGATCTGAAGTCCTACACGAATCGTCGCTTATTAACTGAGTCTTCAGATCTAGGCCCAAAAGCCTTTGTAGTAGTTGCTTGAGGAATGCGCTTATATGTGCACCCGAGCAACTGGAGGGAAAGCAAATGCCAATTACTATCTGTGCTGGAATGTTAAACGATTGCAGAATGGGCAGCTTAGCGAGGCAGTATTTGCCCTGGATATTACTGCTTTCGGATATGGCTTTCATAATCCCGATGCACTCATCGTAGTTGCCCAAGTTTATTGCGTTTCCATAGAATATTCCGTTTGGTATAGAGCCCCATGAATCGAGCACTACAAAATAATTACAAGCAGTCAAAATGAGAAATTCCTCCACATTTGACATTTACATACTTTGTAGACTCCACAATTTGCCAGAGGCTAGTCCGCCCAGCAGCTGATTCATGTCAGACAGACAGCGCAAATCCTGCTGGCTGGGCAGGCGTGTGTTAGGTAAATCCAGGTCTGCTTCACTTATATTCTTAAAGTGTTGTGCAAACTCCATGGCAAATGGGCGTAGTTCCATAATTCTTAGGTAACTCTCTAAAGAATTATATTTCAGCTCCAAGGAACTGACCAAACTCAGCCCGAAGAGCAGCAAAACTCCAATTTTATTTCCCATATCGATTGCCTTGCGGATTTCTGATTGACTAACGCAGTTTAGCTGCAGTCTTTTATATGCACGCTAATGCACCTGTTGGCCATATCTTATCAAACAGTAGTTCACATGTAAGATTAAGCATTTGATTATTGTCAAAATTGATTATGGACTATTATTGCTATAGTTCACTTGAAATATTGATTGAAATACAATGCAATCAAAGTTAACTTTTCATTGTTTAATTTTCATATACATAGATAGGATAATAGACATAAACATTTTTCCTTTACAAATAGTAATAAAAATAATACAATAGCTAAAGTAAATATAACAGATTTGTAATAAGAGGTATATTTAATATAATTTTTATTTCGGAAACTCAGAACAAATACAAATATATTTAAAATCTTTGTTAGCATTTAAGTCCACATATTTAATTTGCTAAATATGTGTATCTAAAGCTCCTACTAAGCTCTCAATATATTTATCGAATTGTTAATCCATCCATCTGTGTTTGGCTACATCTGTAGATATTTTTCTGTTATTGGAAAGCCTGAAGCGTATATCAAAACTTAATATTCCCTTGTGCTAATGCTCTTCAATGGCTTAGAAGTCTCAAGCATCATATGAGATTTCCATACGCTTAAGCGTGGTCCGTGCGTATCATTCGTATCTAGAGACGCAAAGGTGACTTCAAGGCAATATAAAGTAGAATACATACATTTATATTTTAACAGCTTTAAGGTAATCCCATCTAACTTCAGCATCAGACCGGATAAGTTGAAGTTAAAACAGATTATCAAATTTCAAATAACTTCTTTTTAACACTAGACAGAGGCAAAACTTGACTCACTAACATAGCTTACTACTAAGAGAACCAGTTTATAGTCAAATGAAATTACATATATCATTATTAATTCTATTTGCATTAAAATAATATCTGATTTAAGCAGAGTGCCTTAAGTCTGTCCTCAGCTAATTGTTGCCTTTTTCACTTCTGATGCTGGCATCACTTTGGAGGCTGCAGCTGTTGACTTAACTTGTGCATTAACTGAGCTTTCAGGCTTTGGGCTTGGCTGCCTGTTGTGCATAAGCATAATCTCTAGAACGACTAATGGTGGCTCTACGCTGATGTTAAGTAAGTTAAGCTACAGCCAGCCCAAAAGTAAAGCACATGAACTGGGAAGAAATACAGATTTAAAATAATCTAGTCTGTAATAAAAATGTCAACATGATAATATCTTTAGTTAGCTTTAGCTTTGTGGAGGTGAATGAGTAGATTATCGAAAAGAATTAATAAAAAGGATTTCCAATTACATTGATCATTTGGTTAACCCATCGAACGGCTTCCAATCGGTGGTTTTGCAGATATTTTCCTTAATTACTTCTGCTTGGATATTAAGTCTCAATAACTTTTGTAGCAATTATTTCAGGAACTTGTTCATATAAGTGGTCCAGCAAGAGGCGAGTAGGCAACTTAGCTTAGCTTAGCAACTTAAAGGTATCTTCGCACGGCACTATTTGCCTTGGATATAATAGTTATACGGTATTGGTTTATTAATGCCAATGTACTCATTGTGATTGCCCAAGTCCACAAAGTTGCCATTAAGTATGCCCTTGGGTAAATTGCTCCATGCATGCAGCACTAGACGCCAATTGAAGTTCTCCATCTCTGATTTACTTTTTATCGACTCCATTTTAGCAGAGTCAACTCAAGCAAAGGCACGGCCAATTTTGCTTGACTCTGCCATTTCTCGAGAATGCTGCGAGAATTCGTGGAAAAGCGAAATTATTTCCATAATTCGTTGATAGTCCCCAATGAGAAGCAGGTAACCCATTCCAGATGTTAGGAGCAGATTGTTTTTACCATGCTAAATGCGCTGCGATTTTGTGGTTGACAAAGTTTTAACAGTTGGAATCGCTCTTATATACGACAAACATGGGACAAAATAAGGCGATATGCGTGATGTAAAAGGCCTTTAATTAAGACACCGCAACCCATCGAGCTGATACCATATCAATTATTTATTTGTTTTACCACATTCCTATGTGGTACGTTCTCGCTACTTGAAGGTATTTCTTATAAAGCTATTCCCAATGTATATACAATGCTATTATTTACAGATATACATAGATGATAACTAATAACGACTTTTATACATATTATATATACGAAACTAGTTGAATTCTAAATATTTGTTAGTCACGTTATGATGAACTACAAATGGTCTTAGTAAGCGTTTTAGTGTAAACAATATCAGTTTTTTATCGGTAAAATCGACATTCTGTCTGGCAACTATCTGTCGTATACCTTTTATATCCCCAGTCTTTTTTAAATTTAATATTTCAGAGGAAATTCTCAAGTGTTCTGTTTATAGCTTTGATTGTATGACTGATTTCACTTATTGAACTTTTTATAGGAAAAATATTTACGGTCTTAACCTTTGCAGTAAACCTGTTCTAATTCATTCTATTGCATACCCAAATTTTGATAAGAAGGGCATAACGTTTTTCTGCAAATGCATGTATTGAGCAGAAGAATAATTTATCCACTTAGGTAGCCAGATCCTTATGAGTACTAATGTAAATAAATGTCTCTTTCCTTAAAAAAAAAGGGGAAGGCAATCAACTCAATAGACTAATAAGTCGGCCACTAAATTAAAGCACAAATCTTATCTGCTGATGATTAATGATTAGTTTCAAACAGATACGTAATACCTATCATTATATTAAATACACATACATATGCATTGTATACACATTATGCATATATTGTATTGAGGTTTGGCTTGTTATACTTTATTAATTCTCTTGTTATGCTACTCTTTTTGAATGACAACAATGAAAATAAACTTGATACTTATATATGTTATATGATAACTAATAGTCTATCTATATTGAGTTGCATTAGAAATTTCATTAACATTGTCTAAAATAATTAATAGTATTTGTAAGTGCTATTAAGTCCTCAATACCTTCAAACACTTTTGTTTCTTGGAATCGTCACTAGACCTTAAATAAAATAAATACATAGAAAACAATACATGAACAAACCTCCTACCCCAAACCCCAAACTCAAACCCAATTTGAAAACCAAAATCAAAACCAAAACCAAAACCAATATCAAAAGATGCTTTCAATAGAATTTGTGCAAATGTAAATAGAAACGAGAGTCTGCAGAGCAGAAGACAAATTTAAAATAGGCTTTGCATATCCCTCGTTGACTAAGCCGATGAGCAAAGGCGCTCCTTCGATTGGCTCCGACTCTGGCTCCGGTCTCAGGCGTAATATTATCACAGGCCGCGAAAATCAATAAACATTAATCTTGACGTGATTTTGCCTTTATCCAGCGCCATTTGCGTATTTGCCCGCCGCAGCTGCCGCTATTCCTGCTCCTGCTCGTGCTCGTGCTACTGCTCCTGCTGTTGCCAGCTCGATGAAAGATTGAAGTTTAATGGAAGCTGGCGGAGCTCAGCTCAGTTGCCGCCTTGTCAATTATCTGTGTCAAGCGAGTCCGCTGTCGCGTTGTCATTGGATGCCAAAATCTCGAGTAATTTCGCCAGTTGAAAGATGAGCCATAACTAATCTGGCCCACAATTATCAAACTGCTGCGTGCTGTATGCAAAGGATTTCAGCGAGCTCTGTTGACTTTCTGGAAGGCTGAGATCAATTTGTACAAGGTCGCAAAATGCTAGCCAACTCCACCGGCTTAGGAGTTGAGCTCAACTTTTGAAAAACGAAATTGTTTAAGTTTTGCTTGGAATTGGGTAAACAATTATGGAACTTGAGCTCTTTAGCTCTTCCAAACTTCAACTGAGCAACTAAGCAAACAGCTCTGATTAGCTAAACATAAAATTTCAATATCAAATTTTAATTTCTGTTGCGTGTCGCCAAAATTTTCCTCAGCCATTTTAATTTTGACCTTAATTCAAACTATTTACTTAGCTTTAAATATTCAACTATAACGCGCTTTGATGATGGCAATTCATTGGGGCATTCATGAAATGTTGTTCATCATTAGCATTTCACATAAACACATTGGTTAAGTGACTTGGGCTAATTCACCGCAGCTGCTTCAGGTAATTGGAGATGTCTCCCATGTGGAGCAGACGGCGCTGCTAGGCGCTTTGTTGTGTCACCTTCAACAATTTCATAATTAAACTTTTGCACAAAGGAGGTGGATATTTACCTTAAAGAATTCTAATTAAATCATTGAAGAACTTTCGCAGGACTTTCTGCTGATTCATGTGTCCTGGCAGCTGCTACTTTTCCAAGCTGTGCCAAACTTTTCTGCCTCGAGCCGCAGAGCCTAAGGAATTTTGCTTGATTTGTATACCCTATAAAATGTAAGCAAGGATGATCTACAAATATAGATCACCCACATGTGGATGATATTGATTGGGTGACCATCTTAAGTTCTGGTATTTGTGCTCAACAGGTTTTGCTTTAAGATTGACTCCAACTGTTATCCCTAGATATTGTTTAAATCTTGATTATTGAAATATGACTCTGTATTCTTGTTAAGGACTCGAATTAAACCACTTGGCAATCATTTGATTCCATGAACAAACCTAGTCTATTTCGCGAACCTAACTCAAATGCCTTTTCCCAGCCTTTAGGGTAACTGCGAGTTAAGCAATCGAATTCAACTTTATCTTTTTTGTGTCTAGTGCTTTTTCTTTGTTTTTTCTCATTCAGGTATAGAAAGAGAGAGACATCGAGAGTGTGTGTGTGAGAGTTGCTTTTGCGTCGACTAATTTGTGGTGTTTGCTTTGGACTTTCGGCTTTCGCCGACGCTCTTTTGGCTTATGCAAAGCCCTACATGTGCCGCAGCTCGAGCCTGAGCCGCTGGGCGGTCGCCAGTGCGTCGGACTTTGGCTTGGAACGGATTGTGGTGCCCACAGTGGGCCACTAGGCGTATCAGTATTTCACGTCGCCACGCCACACACACACGCACAAACGCTCAGACACATACACACACACACGCGTACACACATACAGATACCATGCAAGATTCATAGACTCATAAATCTTTAAGTATTGAATACCATTTTTG